TAGAACAGCCCTTAACACCTGTTCGTAGATAAGACGCGTCTTAGCTAAGACGAGAAAAACTTCGTATAAATGACCTTCGCGTCTTAAATAAGACGCGAACGCATAGTACGCATGCGTTAATTTTTGCTAAGACGCGTCTTATTTTAGAACAGCCCTTAACACCTGTTCGTAGATAAGACGCGTCTTAGCTAAGACGAGAAAAACTTCGTATAAGTGACCTTCGCGTCTTAAATAAGACGCGAACGCATAGTACGCATGCGTTAATTTTTGGCGCGCCACGCTGGATTGCCGTTGCTACGGGCAACATTCACATGAAAACGAGTCAAGAACAGACTAAGACGCGAACCATTTATACGAGCTGTTCTCGTCTTAGATAAGACATGCTCGTATAAATGGTACAGTTCGCGTCTTATTTAAGACGTGTCTTACTTTTCTTCGTAAATGGCCCTAATGTCTCCTTTGTCTTTTTTCTCGTTGAGCTTCGCTGGCCTGCCGCCTACTTTCTCTTTTTCTCTCTCTTTCTGTTGCTCTATATTCCAAATTTGTGGACATGACAATTAATCTATTAGGATACAGAAGCAATCTCCGATTTCCGTTTTCGTCTTTATTGACTCTTAAATTGTCTCTGCTTTACAAGACGCCGGTGGCTATGCGATTTCCCGCCAAAATAACCTCGAGTTGCATTTGGGTTGCCATACCTTTTGATTGAGTTATTTTACATTGGTATGCCTGTGGTGCGGACAAACGGTCGCTCGGTCGCTCGTTGTACGGTCACGTGATTATCAAATTTTCTAGGATAGGTAGTAGGGCTCCGCACGCGCGCGTGGAGCTCTGCTATAATTATTCTTGACTACTGATCTTACTGAATTTCACTCACTGCACTCTTTAGGCTGGTCACATTTTATCAATTCACTCAAAGCATAAACCAAGGCTGATACGATGGATCATTTGGTCGATTCTTTTGGTATGAATCTACAAGAACTCATATCAATAATCACCTTCATATTCAGATCTATTTCCTTTCCGTTCTACTAGCTATTCTTAAAGGTCCTAAATATTTTGTCAGTATGGAAGCCTAGCATCACAACCTGTAGATTTCTGTTCTCTTAATTTCAAATACGTTGCTTCATGAACGTGGGGCCGGGTGTGACTACTATGTAAGGACTAGAGGGAAACTTTACAAGATTTCCAAACTTTAAGACGCAGCTAAGATCATATCCTTTTAATATTTTCATTAAGTCGTTATGAATTTGTAATTATATCTCTTATTCTGTATCTATGGACATATCTCTACTTTCAATTATTTATTTTGATTTAATTTGAAATAATATCTTGTTTAATTGTTTCTTTTTTTTTCCTTTCGAGGATATTTTTTTGTTAACCTACTCTTAAATTCGAGTTTAAGTATAGCTCATCTATGGTGTGTCGTTGTCATCATCATCGACGTCATTATCATCATCATCATCATCATCATCATCATCATCATCATCATCATCATCATCATCACCGTCCTTGTTATCGTCATTATCATTGCCAAGGTTAAGGGAAAAATTAATCAGTCGATTCACCGATAACCAGTTAATAAAAAGCGGGGTTAAGTTTTATATGCAAGATTGAGGATACTGAGAGTGTTTACTGCCATTTTTAAACACTTTCAGGCTGCAATCACTGTTGGCTTATGCGGAGTTTCCATTAACGAGGGCATCGTTCCAATCAACAAGAACTTATGGTAAGGTCACACTACACTGTCTACAGATGAGGCCCACGTATAATTTTAGTATAAAGAACGAGTTTCATATGTTTTTTTAGGTCAGTGTCGTTCATCTTGGCCACGGGTGCTACTTCTTTTTTCTTGTTTGCTATTTGCTATATCTTGACGGATGGTCTCGATTGGTGGAACGGTGCACCGTTCTTTTACACAGGTAACAAGCATGTTCATTAATTTGGCGACACAATTACAGTGGTTTATAATCAGTTCGTTACTCAAAGTCTTGGGAGTCTAGGAGTCACAGTCCATATTTTATCACTTGCCCCCAACCCCCTGGCACCAACCTCCCAGTATACTTTTGGCAAGGTCGGAATTTTCTAATGGTTATTTACCTGGTTAAGCGCAAGAAAACATGGAGTGTTATTAAAGAGCTCCTGCGTGTTGCACATTTTATTTCCTTATGGTATTTTCTATGCAGATAAAATAGGAAATAAATATTAAAGGATTTAATGACATTATAAAATGTAAAAATAATTAATGAATGCAGGAATAAAAGTTTGATTAAGAGTCGCGCTCCTTCTGCTTTGTGTTTTCACTCAGAATGTTTTATTCGTATCAGGTATGAACTCCATTCTGGTGTACGTAGGTCACCTTATTTTATGGCGACACTTTCCTTTTAGCTGGGAAATGGATGAGTATGGTGGCCATGGAGAGAAGATGGCAATGAGCATGACAGGAACAACTCTTTGGTGTTTAATAGCTTATTATCTTTACCGCAAATACATCTTCCTTAAAATTTAGCTGCTTTGTGAATGTCGATTCGATTTTTTAGCGAGATGCTGTTGTATAAGATATGTTGCATTGCAAGGTTCTGTTTTTAATATTTACATATACTGCTGAGAATAGGGAGTTTTCCCCATATATATAAAATCAGTTACCCTCACCCACTTTCACTCATACTAGAAACTCTAAAAATATCGTTATTTTAGTGACCGATAAAACGAACATGATAAATTTTAAGTCATTTTTACTGTGACAAAAAAGCTGAACTTGAAGAAAAGTGTTTTGTTAAGTTACAATCTGTTAACATTTCGTTTAATGGATGCTAAACATACATTAAGATAAGTGATAGAATAACTTTAGATATGTGAACCATAGTTATTTCTTCTTACTGTCATGTGTTTTCGCACGGCTTTAAATCAATACAAAAACAAAGTGACGCAGCTTTTTGAGCAACACATATAGTTTATAATATGACTGTAGATCCCCTCTAATGCCTGCAATTAGATTGCACGGAAAGGGGTGGAAAGAAAAGTCAAATAAAATGTTTCCCATTTTCTCAACCCCCGTTCGTAAGGCCGGACTATCAGCTAAACAGCTGAACATCGATATTGTAATCTTATTGTTTTAAGGAATGTCTAGGAGCCTTATTCACGACCTCAACCTGTATTGCAGGCCTGGGCAACGAAAAAAGCAAGGAAAATGAGGAGAGAGCGAAAAACCTACGTTCCTCTTCAACCTTCTTCACAAGTTTCAATTCTCATATCCAGAGCCCGAAGCAAAACCCAATACTTATATAGTTTAGTTTATAAGCCTATGTTCATGTATCTAATTTTAGGCCTGTTTAGCCGAATAAAAGGTTACCTGTACCTTCCGGCTCTTTCTTGCAGTAGTTCTGTTTGGTCACATTTCATTAAATCACCTTATATAACTTATATGCATCACGGATGGTCTTAAACGTAAGATTTCCTTTATGTACCATGGTCATTTCGTCTTCTGCTTCTATAACTTTTACACCTAAATATTTGTACTTACCAACTGTTTCATTGTGTTCAATGATTCTGCAAACTCTCCAAGCAGCTCCGTTGGCAGTTGTCCTTTTCGTAAACGGTGTTAAGAAAATTATTGACTTCCACATAAAAAAGAAAACTGCAACCTAGACTACGAGTAGTCCCCATTTTTGCTCAGGGATAGTAGAGCGAGCGAAACGCGAGCGTGCGTGAAAATCGCCCCACGCGAGAAAAGGCGACACGCGCGTGGGGTGATTTTCACGCGCGCTCGCGTTTCGCTCGCTCTACTATCCCTGAGGAAAAATGGGGACTACTCGTAGTCTAACGGCAACCCGGGGATCAAACCCGGACCTCGCACCCGGACCTTTCGTATCTTATTCTGACTCTACCTTAATTACCACTTCACCACCATACCAACACGCCAAATCCTGATAAATTTTAAAGTACATACTGCGTGTACACTAGTAAACTGCCTTTCTTAACTGTTACATCAATAATAAATGACACCTAGCTGTTTCCGTAACTTTTAATGAAAATTCAACTTGAGCTTCAATGTCACTCTTTCTAACACTAATCAAACTAAGTAACGTATTTTGGCCTTATTTTGACTTAATCCAGGTTACCAATGCTGGCATCGACCGTTCAAAATGGCAACGTCCGTTTACGAAAGGGAAATACGCTTCTCGTCGGAGAGTGAAGCCGGGAAGAAAGAAATACAACATTTTCCGCACGATTTAAGTCAAAACAGTTTTTGTGTTTCGTAACGTGTGAGACCTGTTTACTATAAAACATGTCCAAGCAAAAAAATCTTCCTTCTAAAACCTACCACTATTGCGTAGAATTCTGATCATGCACTCTTGAATCTGAGCAAGATTTGAGAAAACAAATGCCAGTACTCTGACTAATGCTTAACTTGAAACTTATATTTGCAATTGTACATGTCTATAAGCTAGATCGACGTACCACTTGTGGAATGAGATGCCGAAGTTATGTACAAAGCTTTTTGTAACATGACAACGTTATATTTTCATTTGCTGATTAATCCAATCCACATAAGGGGCCAACTTGGTGTAAAATGTATACCGACCCATTATGCCACACCCTTCTCCCCAGCTAACCAATCCTATAGCAGTCCATTTCAACACGCGGCCGTGTAAAATGTTCATTACAAACGGACCTCCACTGTCACCTTTACATATACCGACGCCATGTTTATTGCTTCCAGCGCAGAAGTTTGTAGACTCGTTAAAGTGATAGTCAGTGGAATTTCGGCAGCGCCCCATATCCTGGACCTGAAACTCTGCGTAAAGTAACTCTTGGGATGATGATTTTTCAGGGTCCGGTGTATCCACTTCTCCTGGTTTAAGAACCTGCGTGGCGCCCCAACCAGCCACGTTTCCTTTACTACCCGGAGTCAGTGCATCTTGAGATGACGAGCCGTTTACTTTTTCTGGAAGGCAGATCTTTCGTACAAATCGCCCAAGTGTAACTCTACTTGACAACTTCACTAGTGCGATGTCGTTTTCTTTGAACTGGTCATGGTATTTGGGGTGCATCAATATGTCGGTCACAAAGAACAAATGCTGAGATTTTTCCGTCTTGTTTCGGTGACTGTCACCCACAGCAACTCTAAATCTATAGAATGCGAAACGAATTGTAAATAATTTAACAGCTGCAAATTTTTATACATCAAACGTACTTCGTTATAGAGCTTTTATACCCTCGATCAGAGTATAAATCAATGTCAGTCAATGAACTGCTTTTGCACACTAATGAAAGCTGATACTTTCTTGGGAAGAACGGACAATTCATCGCTAAACCGATCTATAAAGCTTAGAACTATTCCTACCCACGAGCGGTGGTGAATGGTTCAGAGAATAAGAGGGAGGAGGTAGCGTGGCCTCCAGTTCAAGTCCCATCTTGACCGGTCGTTGCATTTGTTCACGGTAGTCTGGAGCTGAACTCCTCGACCATTTAGCTAGTTAATACCTCCGGCCAATTGGGATTGATGTAAGTTATTTGTTTCAGGAATTTGCTCGGCCCCACTAGGATCAGTGTTACTGATAAATACTGCCTAAGGTAAATGAGGGAAAGTTATTTTCTTTATTATTTACAAGTGAACAAACAATGAAACTATTGTTTGAGATAAGTTTAATAATAACAATTGTTTTTTTTTTCCAAGCTAATTTAACTGTGTCTATATCAGCTATTAGAGTCGATCATAAAAAAGGCTTATACGAAGATGCTATGGTGTGGTGCAAATAAAAGTAAAGCTTACTGCTCAGGTTTAGAGTCGAGAGGTCGTCTGGCGTTATCATCTGGGTCTCTGTACATAAAACAATGTGCTGCTGTAACAATCCAAAGTCTCTCAATAAGGGCTCCCCCACAAATAAATGATGCTTTTCCTAAATACGAGAAAAGTAGTTGCAGCTCATGTTAGAAGAATGTTGTGTGACTAATGAAATGTAGCTTAAATAGGATGAAATAATAACGAAGAAGAAGCAACAACAAGTAGAGACGTCACTAGAAGACTTCAATGTCATTCCCATGCAACTGGATTATGATTACGAAAACAATACAAAACATTGAATTAATTTTGAGCGCTCTAGAAATAAAAGGGTAGGTTGTGCAATTTTCTCTTTCTGGGAAGAAAGTATAAGGTTTGAAAATTTAACTCCATTTATCTCATATTAGACATATGAATTTATGAATGAGAGATAAATGTAGTTCAGTTTACAGAACCCTGGGTTTTACTTTCATTCACATTGAGCGCTCGTAGACAAGAAACTATTCTTCGAAAGACAAATGGAAAAAAGGCGAACGAAATAAAATTATGATAATAAGAGAAAAGTTTTAAATTAACCTGTTTTACGGTCAACTCGGTAAATTCCGGCTTGCCATGGCCACATTCCATGACCACTTGTTAAACCACCAACCATTCGAGGACGACGAATTTTACTTCTCACACCGCACTTTGAATAATCTCAAAAAAAAAAAAGATCACATAGTTTATTCAACATATACATAAACTGGAGGGCTGTTGACTGTTACTGTTAATAATTACATGACTTGCGGGCGAAAACGTAAAAATGATCGGCTACTTCAGCTTATGTAACACAGAAAGCTAATCATTATATCCAGAGAGAGTTTTGTAGAGATTTTATTGTTATGAGTTGTTGGTGTGCGTCAATATATCTGTGTTCAGTCATCCTGTTGGATTTCTTTCCTAAATGCCTTTTTTTGCAACACTATATATTTGCACAAGTGTGGTTTGCTAGACTGACTTTTATACGTTACGTTGAGTACTTTCCAAACTTCCAAAGTGCATCCATAGTACGTAGTACAAATCCGCAGAGGAAAACTTCCAAATTTCTTTTTAGATTGAGAGAACCTCCTATTAACTGCATGAAGGAGATTCAGAGATAATTTGCCTTGCCTTTAATATGAGACGGGCGCAGGCATTGTGGTCTTTTGTTGCTCCAGTGTCCATTGTAACAAGTAATCTTCCTTGGGCCAACCATCTTGCGATTTTTTGGACAGCTGAATCTCACATGTTTGCCATGCCTAAAATTATTATCAATACGCTTTCCACCTTTTGGAATCCCGGGGTTGTTGCAAGGGGCTGAAAATAGACAGATTTATACGCTAGGTATGAGAACTTTCCACGGAAACTTTCTAAAAAATATATCAGAAAATTCCGTACGGGCCATTCCGCAGTGCGGTTGTCGTACCTTTACAGACCACTGGTTTACCACTCCATGTGCCACTTGCTTGACAAAACCTCGTCTCGGTTCCAGTCAATGAATAATGCTTGCTGGTGCATTTAAATTCCGACCTGCCTCCATACGTCGTTTTGGTTTGTAAAGTTTTCTTCCCATGACGTGGATCAGGTAAGCTGCCACAATCGACGACTAAAACATAAAAATGAAATACACGTTTGACAGCGTTTTCAGAATGAAACGATTTTTTTTAGTGGTCTGTTTACCTTCTACCACTATATTTGCATCAGTCAAGCTTGTTTGATAAAGCTTTTCCCAAAAGAAAGTAGAAACAAATTAAGTAAGTACTATCTGAATTCACTCGGCTGATAGTTAAAAACCTTCAATGCAGTATGCCACAGCAACGGCATGGTCATGATTTCAGCAGGACGATAAATATAGATAGATAGATAGATAGATAGATAGATATTCTGTTTATTTCACCCACTTGCAGCAATAACTGAATTGTTGGGGAAGGTCATTGTCACATACAATTAGCCATTTACATACATTCACTGAAATTTATAAGTTACAAAGTCATTAATTCTTCTGGTATGACCAGATCTTCTGGTATGGCCCGACTATAAAATTTGTTCTCAGGAGGGTGAAATAATAATATGATCTATCTCCCTGGAATTTTTTACCACATTTTAGGCTTGTCACAAAGTATTTTGCTTATGCTGTGCCTCTCTTTTTAATTCATATCTAAGAGGGTTTACCGTTTTGGACCCTGGAAATAACAAGTTCGTAAAAGCATCATTTTGGACATACTGAAGCGGGTTATTGGTGTTTATCATCACTGAACGCCAGTAGGACTAGAGGCATGACTGATGATGGTTTGTATTACAAGCTAACCTCTTCCTCGGAATCTTTTTTTTTTGACTGATTGGCCCTAATTTTATCAGTTTTAACGTCCAAGATGGCGGGTGAACATAAGTATCATCGCTCTCACGCCTGCTTTGAAGGGCTAGGCTAAGTACTGTAGGTTCTACTTGCAGCCTGTTATGGGTTATAATCAATCTTGACCACTGACGCTCTCACTGTACTGAAGAGCCCGATAACACCTTTCATTGAGGAAGAGTTTCTCACTGTAATTTTAATTTTATTGTATTATATTTATGTTTAGTAAAGAAGACAGTAATGGTTATCAGTTTTACCATCGTTACGCCAAGAGAGGTTTCTAGCTCGGAACAGTCTAGAACTGACATGCATGTACATGCACCATCCCCAGAGGAGTGTTAAAGCCCAATAAATATGCTGGATTTCAGTAACATTATCAAGGCATGTTACGTTACCTTTACAAGTTGGCGCCTCGGCACTCCACGTTTTATTTTTGAGGCATTTCAACATCACTGCTCCGTGAAGTGCAAAACCCTCGTCACATATGAAGTACACTTTGCTGTCCACACCGAATTGGCTACCAATCCTTTCTCCATGCTTCGGAATTTGGGGTCGGTTACATTCTTTTGATTCTAAGGTGAATAAGTAACGAGATATAAAAAAAAAGTTATACAAGTTATACTGAGGAAAAAATATTCTATTTTACAAACGCACTTAAATATAATATGACAATTTTTATATTACGCATTCACAGGATAATATGGCGAGTATTACAGTTCAAGAAAGGTATCGTTAACTGAATGGATGCTGACATTTTCCCGTTTATCCGTGTGCGCATGATTTAATGAATAAAAATGCCTCTTGTCCGCTTACCAACACAAGCGAAGCTGACTTTGGTCCATTTTCTTCTTAGACAGGATATGAATGACAGTCCCCCAGCGACGCGATATCCTGGTTTACATTTGTAGAATATCCTCGATTCTTTAACGTTCTTTTCTTTTGTCCTTGCAGAAATGACAGCATTGGAAGGGACAGGAGGCTTTGGACAGGCTGGAACTAAAGGGGGAATTAAATCAGTATTAACAGTGAATTAGTACGTGGATATCTTACCTTGTTTATTAGTTGAATCTTCAAGGCAAAAATAACGTTTTTGATAATAAATACGATTGGAATTTCCTATTTGAAAACTCAATCACTCTAGTCAATCTGTGGTGTGGGAATGTTTTGAAACGGTGATCGATTGTATTAGAAAGAGTATAAAAATTTTAGAGCGGCTTTACCTTTCACATTGACAAAATCTAAAGTACACCGTAACTGATACTCTCTCCTTTTTTATCAACTTCCTTCCAACATCTCCCAAACACATTAATGAAAGACAGCCTCATAAAATGATTTAAGTAGATAATCGTGTGTTGCCCATCTGGAGCTGCCGGGGCAGCCCCTGTTAGACCTTAACAAATACCCTTGAAATAGATGCAGGATTAGAAGTGGAAATGTGGAATGTGGAAGAGTTAGTCATTGCGCAAAAACATACTGTAAAATGTTTAAGAAAGTAACTACTATAAATAAACCACCCGGTAGCTCGATCCATATATTCCTTCAAAGAAAGTCTGTTCTTATAACCTCCGTAAAAAACAATGTCCCCGTCCTAAAAGTAATACTGAGCGTTTGATGTTTGCCTTTGTAAATAGACTAATATTTAAACACAACCTTAGTCCAGGATTCTGTGATTACTTTATTTATTTTACTTTGTTTTACGGTATTCATAAACAGTTGTATATAACATAGGATATGTATCTTTATCTTGTGGGAAATAAAGACCCATTTTTTTATTATTATTATACTGACTTAAGAACACTTAAAGAGAAAAGATCTAGGCCGTGATCTAATGGATTAGTACAAAACTCACCGCACTTGATTTTGGCTTTTTCCCATTTACCAGAGGAAAGGCAGGTCAGATTTGTTCGTCCAATGAGAGCAAATCCTTTGTTACAGGAGTAATGCACTGTAAGGGTGCCATTTCTTGTCAAGTTACTATCCACTCGGCCATGCTTAATTTTCAGTGGCTCACCACAGTTCCTACCTGTTGTTTGAGATATAGGTAATGGCAGTTTCTTTATAAGACGTTGATGCGATTTTGCGTGCGCTTATATTAAGGAGTCAAAACTTACGGAGTAGGCCTGCAGGCTCAGCAAAGCACATTATTTGTTCCCATACGTCCTCTTGTTTCCTCTTCGATATGTCAGGAAATACATTTGAAGCCTTTCTTTTTCTTCTTATTGCTTTTCTTATTTCTGTTGTAATATTATTGAAAGCTTGATGGTGTGAAATATTAAAAGGTGTGTCAGATCATTCAGTTAACCACCTGTTTTTCGCCAGGAAATTCAAAGTTAGAGGTGGAATTGCTGACAATCACTTCGCTTGAAGAACAAACTATGTCTACCGAGCGTTATGGTTAAATTTTACCGAAGACCCGGGAGGAAGCGGGATGTATGTGTGTGTGTGTGTGGGGGGCGGATACTACCTCATTTGGCCTCAACGGGTATGTGCTGCTGAACAGGGTGGTGACACTCCTTGTGTCTAAGATGGCCGCACGCGTAAAGCAATTCGCTCGATCCCGGAGATCTTACGTAAGGGACTGTGAACAGTCTATTTCAGTATTCAACAGTGCCTTTTATTGGACCAGAAGCCCTTTTATTATGAGTCTGAAGGTTGGCGATAAGCATTCAGCTTTTAAAGAAGACAGAAAATCCAGTTTCCAAAAAAAATATGACGATTAGTTAAAAAATAAATAAATAAAATAAATAAATAAAATAAGTAAATAAAATACTTATTTCATTGTGGGAAAAGAAATCACTGAGGGTCTTATAATAATAGCCTGTGTACAGACGTCGGCCTCGATCCACTCAAAATCCGAGTTTCTCTTCCTGATATTTTCTGCGGAGAAAGGCCAGGGCCGGGGGCATCTGTACACAGACTATAAAATCAGGTCGACTAAACAAGGGTAGAGAAATGAACGACATTTATAAAAACCCTATTAATTTACATCAGGCTTTTTAAAATTCACCTCAGTTACCATAGTAACGTAAGTATTGACGTATACCCACAGCGACTTGCTTGGAAATGCTCCCAGAGGTCGATACTGTAGCTTCAACGGTTTCAAAGTTCACTTAAACTTTAAATTTGTGGGTTTTCTTTCGTTGAAAAGCCGTTACTCGGATAATCTTTATTTTTTTAGAGCTTCCAACAATAAAAAAATTGTACACAGAATGAATTAGTCTGTCTGTGTTATTACTTGATTGCCGCCCTCCCCCACCGCCTCCCCGTGCGGGCCAAAGATAGAGATAGATTTTGACAAAATGTTACAATGTACAGTTTTAAAAACGCAATCTCCTTTAATCTTCCTCAATCTACTTTAACCTTATTTATTGTTTAGTTTTATTCAAAAGTGAAAGTTCTTCCCTCGATTCATCTGGAGTCGGAAAGACAACTACTGTCATACGCTCTAGTGGTTCGGCTTGAAAACCATACCCGATGAGATCATAAGAGATACAATCACAGACTATCACATGATTTAGACTAAAAACCAGAGCCTTTTGGGTGGCACATTCCTACATAGCTTGTGTAGCGAAGTTCCGCCCCCCCCCCCCCCCACCCCCCCCCCCCCCCCCCCCCCTTCCTTAACACACCCACCCACAAACCACCCAATATTCCAATTTTTTTCCCCCTTAAGCATTTCCTTGTTTTTTCGCTTTACATTAATCAACGGGTTATCTTTATATATTTAAAATAAACAATAAATTATTAATACAACACTTTACCTCACAACCCGGTGAAACAAAAAGAGAAAAAACCACAGACTATCAAATAATTTAGATAAAAAACCGGGGCCTTTTGGGGGCCACATTCCTCCTTGCCTTGTGTAGCGAAGTTCCCCCCCCCCCCCCCTTAATCGACCCACCCCCTGGGCATTTTACTTGAATCAGCGCAATCGAAAACGCCAACATTTTTCCATGTTTTTCCGCATGAAGGATTTCCTTGATCTTCGGGATAGAAATAACGAGGGTTTTAATTTTCATTAGTAAAAAGAGAGATTAACTAATCACTCTTACCTTTTACCGACAGCAGGCAACAACACAAGATAATAACTGCACAACACACTTTAACTCCAGCCATGTTGTGAATAACGTACAGACGTTATTTCATTGTAAGTTAATCCCCTCCCTTCCTGCTGAAGGGGAAGTGATATCGTAATACCAAAACATGGAAACAGCGCAGTAAGACACGCAACACCGCACGCCCGACTAAACTCACTCGTAATTCCAAAGCTTATGTAATAGTATCTTCATAAATTCGAAAGCAGTTAGTCATTGACTATAATTCTTTCTTCTACGAGGGCGAACTTCGACACTTGTTCGATGCCTCCTGAAAATAAGTTAACTGCAATTCAGTAAGTTTTAATTGTTATGCACTCCTATACGTTCATAAATAATAATAAAAAATTAATGATAAACCATAATTCACTCAGGAAAGTGAATTCTGTTAAATAAATCAACAAAAATACTTAAAAAGTTTGGGATGTTATGATGCAGCTGAATGCTGGGAAATACAAAAAAAATGGTTGACCTTTCTTGAAGGTGATCTTGTTTTCTGAAAATCTGTCACTATCATTGATATAGTAATGCAATGGTCCAGCTCAAATCGCTCACGTCCAGAGAGAATTCTCTCCAGTCAATTCATAATAAGGCAGAGGTTACACATTAATTCACCACTAAGAGTTCTAGTATTAGCACAAAAAGAGAATGAAACGGATCAAGGCAGTCCTTGTGGTGCAGACAACACGCGACACGTCCCATCGGATTTGAAATCCATCAACAAGTGATGATTTATTTAGTTTCAGATCAGATTTGACTCCCCGCCAACTTACCCTCAGCGCAAACCACGTCTTTCATTCAAGGAAAACAACTTCCTGTCCCGTTCAGTCAGTCGTCAGAAGGCTGCTTATTGGACATGATGAAATACGCAGTGGTAATTCTCGCTGTACTTATTCAAGGTAAACCTATTTTGGTTCATTTTCAATCAATTGTAACGCTTTCACTTGATGAACTCCATTTACTTACAGTTCGGATATCAGAATTATTAGCCAACGTTTCTTTGTTGAATATGCAGCTAAACATTTCTTTCACTTAGAATAAATCGGACCTCATGATAGCACGCGTAAGCACCTTAAGTGAAACCTGAAGCGAAGACAGTGATAAAATGTACAGTATGAAAATCAACGATGTAGTGAAGTATACAGGCAACAAAGCACTTACGTGTGGTCCAAATTCGTTGTTTACGACATGATGGTTGGCTTTGCAGATTTTGTAAAACCCTAAGATTATCTGACAAGCATTTGATTTAGGAGTTGTCATTCGCTTTATTTTCGTAATATCGCGCGATTGCTTGCAGTGAGCGTATGACCAATACCTTCTTCTTTTCTGACCCATACCTATCCTGTTTTGTTTTTAAAATGGCGCTGCACATCTTGATTTCGGTCAATGACCGTTGTATATGGTGTCCCGAGGTGTCCCGATAAAAGAAGTAGAGCCAAACAGTTATATTTGACAAAAATATGTAATTCATTTTATAGGCATTCAATCCAAAAACTGCACCCGCACAAACACAAAAAAAGATTTTTGTGCTAAGTCATGCGATCCTTCCCAAAACAGCCCTTGCAAAGGAAATAGACTTTGCCTGTGCGATGGCGACTGTGGCTTTAGCTGCGTCAAGGCAGGTGTGTATCTTAATTGCAACATCTTTGTCTTTTCAGCTTATACTGCCTGTCCATTTTGTAGTTTCATGTCCACGGGATTGATAGGAGTGGTTGATTCTTATTTATTTTTCAAAGGATCATATTCCTAACCGTGTGATAACGGGAAGAGCGAGGAGGAAGTAAATTGTGATCCCATCAACGATCACCTGACATTTTAAACGAAAATTTTCTTATTCCATGTTTTGATTTTTTTTCATTTTTATTACAATTGATTAAACAAAATATTTCCCTTAATACATCATCCGGATATACTGGTAGAACAATAAAGAAAACCTTTATACACTGTTATAGAACGTGCTCTAGGATAAGCCGTTTCAGCGTGATTCTGTAAAAACTTCCACTTTCCTCAGAGCTACCCGGCCACGCTGTATAAAGGTTACTACCCCCCCCCCCCCCCCCCCCCCTCCCCACAAGAAAAAAAAAAAATTCAACCATATACAAGACACATATTCAATACTGTGATTTGTATGTTGACTACACTCTAGCATACGCGCAACCTTGTGATACACATTGTGCGCTCCACCTACCTACGCAACCCCCCCCCCCCCCCCCGTAGTAACGAATCTAAAGAAAATAGTTTCATCTGTATGGAAAATATTTTGAATTGAGTGTGATTAGTCCTGAAACACTTCATTTGGATCAGTGTGGACTTTTTCAATCCATGTTCATCCTCACCATCTCATTGCAACAGACGACAAGAAAAAGATTAAGTGCTTAAATGTTGTTTTAAATAACAAAACTGAACCATTACATGTAGTTTTGGAATTCAATTGATGCAGAGACACTCTTCATGGTGATCAGTCTCTCCCACTTATAGGCCACGAGTCAGTATGCAAAAGGCAAAGAAAAAACATACCCCGCCCAACCCCCACCCCCCCCCCCGCTTTCAGTGCCTGTTTCGCGCTCGTACATCAGACTTAGCCAGAGAGATATGGCTTCATAAACTGATATTACCAAAGAACAAACGTTGTAATATATTTGCACATGTTTCTTTCTCTGTGGTAGATCGCCGTTGCCCGACGCCTGAGATACCAGCTAACGGACGAGTTCGTGGCAAAAACACTACCTTTGGCTCCGTTATCAAGTATCGATGCTCTTCCAGTTACAAACTACAAGGGCCTAAAACAAGAACGTGCAGAGGAAATGGGAAATGGGACGGAGAAACGCCAATCTGCAGTTAGTTGAACAGTATAGTAATGATTCCTCTATTTAGTGTCCTCCTCTCACACAAGCAATTCTTCCCCCTTACAGTCAACTCTCGCCTTTCGGATACCTTGCTATGACGCACACCCCGATAATACAGACAGCAGCTAAATCCAAGGCAAAAATAATTTACAGACGATTGACTGAAATAAACTCCTGCTACTACGGACTCTCGGTAATGAGAACACTAACTCGAGGTCCCAACAGTGTCCGCCATAAAGGGAGTTGACTTTATTCAGAAAAAATCACTCCCTTATTGAACTCTGTTGTAACAAACAAACAAAGGCTTTTACAGTCAACTCTCGCCTTGTGGGCATCTCTTTATTACCGACATCCCGCTAATACGGACAGCTGCTGAATGCCCGGCGAAAATTTCAGACGTTTGACTGAAACAAACTCCCGCTTATTCACAAACTCTCGCGATTACGGACATCAATCAACATCTTGCGGCAACATTTTGGTAGAATTATCTCAGAATATAATTTATTTCTTCCTCTTCCTCTGTTCGTCTCTGTCACCTTGGTTGAAAAGTGGGCATTCCGATTTCTGTTTAACATCATGACTCTATGAAACTACCGTACTTACTTGCAAAAAACAGTCAGGATGCACTTAATGTACATCAATTGAAATTTTAATACTGTACTTTATGGTTTCTCAGTAGTACTGTATCTCATGAACGCCGACGTTGTAACCATATCAACACTATCCAAGTATTCCATACTCCAGTTTTAAATTAATGGTATCACAAAAAAACTCTCTTTCAATCAGAGGGAAGGTGTACAGACCCTGGAGACATATCCAACGGGAGAAAACAAGGCAATAATTATGAAAGTGGACAGAAGGTGAAATACACATGTTCCAAAGGTTTTACAATGCAAGGAAGCAGTACCTTGACATGCAAGAGCACAGGCAGTTGGAACCGACCTAAACCCAAATGCGTTTGTAAGAGAACCAATACGAAGGCTTTCAGATACTGCAAAAAATCCTGCAATCCTAAGAGAAGAGATTGCAAGAAAAACAATGAATGCGTGTGTGATGGCGACTGTGGCTACAGCTGTGTTGCAAAAGGTACTCGTTGTTTCTGTACTTGATTGTTACTTGATTGTACATACACAGGTACTGCTACTGTGGCGTGTTAGTCATTAGTTCTCTTCGACATGATTCAAGAGATTACTTTGACGTTACGGTGCCTGAGCATGCGTGCCTCTATGCCTCCGTAAACCAGCCACAGCCTCGACCCAGTTGCTCTAAGCTCAGTTAAAACTAACCCCAGAGAACCCCAGAGGATTAATTCACCAATAAGCGTGCGTTTTTGTCTGCTATTCTGCATTTTACTGGGTCTCCGAGTAAAGCACACCAGGGCTCAACAGTAATTTTAGAAGCCAATTTGCATTTTCAAGGACAAAAACGTTTCGTTTGATCATGATATTTAGCTTAATCCTGATTTAGCTTTGCGAGCATGGATTGTACTTTTTAAGGACCGCTTCATTTGTGTGCTTCCAGTCGGCTATTTTATGCTACTTCTTTAGGGATGGTAATTAGCTGCATTTAACTGACTTCGCCTCTGTAGGTTTAACTTGTAGCAGACCAGTGCAAATTGACAATGGTAATAGACAGTATACCTCCACAAAGTTTTGGTCGTCAGTCAAGTATACGTGTAATAAACCCTACACCCTTGTCGGAGCTCAAACTCGAACTTGCCGTGGAATAAGAAGTTGGGATGGCATCGAACCCGTTTGCAGTGAGTATATGTTCGCCAGCGGTGCTCTGCTGCATGGTTTCATAGGATTGAAGGTCACTTATATAATTACAAATTAGCACTTTTAACTTACTTTTGTTGTTCTGAATAAATAAGACATGTATTTTTTTGAAAATAAAGAAAACTTGACGGTGTAAATCAGAGCGGCTTAGAGAAAGAAATTAAAACTGAATTGAGATTGTGTTGATTGTTTGATTGTGATAAACATAATTTGTTAAAGCAAAACGTCACTAAGTCTTTTGAATTGATTTCAGCGTGGTTGTTCACTAATTAATAGACCATGGGCAACGACCCGCCGGGGAGGGGGGGGGGGGTTACTTGACTAATATTTTGGTATATGAGAGCCCCTGGGGATTTGAAACTCTGACCCTGTTTAGGACGAAAACAAATTCTAAAACACCACCCTCTTTAGGACAACACCCTTAATTGTACTACCCTGTTAAGGGCAAAGGACAAAATGCACGCCGCCGTATTGGCAAATGCATTACAGCAAATTCACGTTATAGTCATTTCCTTTGTATTGTACAAAATTGATCCAGCAAATGAAACCAGTCGTGTGCAAGCAATACCCTGTTGACAGGCTGTCACGAAATTGCATACCTCGTTTAGGACAGAGAGGTCAGAAACCATACCCTGCCAGCGGCACATCCCCGTATAGGCCATATGAGGGAGAACCCCTTCCAACCCCCCCCCCTCCCCTCACCACCCTCGCTTGGGGCCAACGACTCATCACGGTGAAGCTTTGTATAAAATAAAATGCATTCTGACATTGCCTTGCACTTTTAAAGCTAAACTAAACTTTGCTCTAAATGATACACCGTGGTAAAGTATTTCATACTTTTAGAAATCATCTGCCAAGACCCAGGAGATATAACACACGGGAGTAAACAATCCTTTCGTAGAAGTTACGACGATGCTTATGCTACCGTGGGAGACAGAGTAGAGTATAACTGCTATCCAGGCTACAAAATGGAAGGCTCTCAGCTGGTCTGCGATAAAAACGGAAAATGCTTTAAGCAGCTGGTCTGCAATAAAAATGGAAAATGGAGCGGATCCAAACCAAATTGCACAGGTAGGTGGACCTAAGTGCCTCTTCAGCCGCACTTCATGAAGTACTTTAAAATCAGGTCATGTGCTGACGAAAAATGAGCAACGAGTAATAAACATATACCGGCCCAAGTATAACACGATATATATGCTGCTTTCAACCTTAAAGATACATTGTTTGATATACATGTACATGTAGTTCCAAATAAGCCAATTGTAATATAAAATGTATTTTTCAAAACTAGAATGGGGATGCTCGTGATAGGCTCAACTAGCCTTTTTCCCGATTTAATTCGAATAAGAATTCGAAGTCGACTCAGAATACCTTTTAGGTTTCATTTGTTTTTGTTTACATTTGATGTTATGTTTTTTATTTTTTTCGTTTTCCCCTTGCTTTGCAATAGTACCAACATGTGGTCCTCCTCAACTTCCACCAAATTCTGAGTTATGGCGCTCTCAAAGTGGTAAAACTTCTTACAACTATAAGGAAAGAGTGGCGATTAAGTGCAAAAGTGGATATTTCATCAGAGGCTTTGGATATAGAACATGTGATAGTTCCGGATGGACTGGACCCAAATTTTCTTGTTCTCGTAAGTTACATTAAAATAATTTTAAATTTTTGCATTCACAAAACTTTTCCCTCCATAAACCTGTTTTCGTAAGGTTATGAAGACACTTATTCTCATGTGATTGTGGTCCGGTGAGCTTACGTCACGCAAATCGAGGTGATCGTTACATTGGATTTGACTTGGATTTTCAAGTAGACAAATGATAACCTGTTTAATCAAGTCTTTCCTGCCTTTGAAAAAGCTTATAAAATTAAACTAAATTTGTGCAAAGAACATGTCTTTGGAACAAACAAATAAACAGCCTTTAAAGAATAATTAAGGCTCCAATTTTCTTCCACAAATAACGTCAAACAAACAAATCCAAAAATATGGGAGGGGGGCCTCGGTTTCCTTCAAACATCCTATGGCGTTATCTGCCGGATAAATCACTTTCCAGCGGTGTAGTATACAAGGGAAAACAACTGCGTTATCGACTGGGATGTAATATATCAAGCATGAGAAGCAGTGTTTCATCACTCGATAAAACACTGAGAAGAGAGTTGAAAATAACACCAAAATAGCGCTAACTCGCCAAAAACGCTTCAAAACGGCCTGAGACGCGGGCAAACAACAAAGAATACAACAAGGCAATTAGGTAAGTCGATTTTAATAAAAAACGTAACATTTTTTTTCTCTTTTAAGAAAAACTGTTTACATCCCATAGAAGCCTTTATAAATAACCGTTTGTAACACAACACCACTCGCAAGCAAGAGTCACGTCCGCGTTCATGTAATGAGCTTGGGCCGCCTGTGGTCGGGGACACTTTACTCCGCCGGCTATGAGTTTTGCAGAGTGGCTGCTCTCCATAGGCAAGCCCCTGGCAAACCAGTGTCGAAAAGTTCTCTACAATACATGCCGCTAAATTTCCAAAAAACAAAAAGAATCTTTTCATTTCAAAAAGTAAACAAATGACTTGTCCATGGCGGCTTTAGCTAGTGTCGAGTACCGATGTTCTGATTTACGTTGATGTTATCTCTAACAAACAGTCCATTTCTTTCCAGTCAGATACGAACGCGGTCATTCCCAATAAATTGGCCTTTACTAATCTCCACTGCTCGATCTCCAGTTATATTTTGAAGGGACTCAGATCTAATAAACCTTCGCACAAACACGATTCAAATAAGTATCAGTCCAAAGCATTTGCAATCTACTACCACAAATCAGACCAGACCAGATATGCGACGCACGTAAACAAAACATACCTGGTTTGATTGATGTATTGATAACCTGTGTAGCAGGCGCTATTTACTCAATACTACCAGCATTGCACCAATCAGAAGCTCAAATTGATTTTGTTCAAGCGATTCATCTCGAAGCTCAAAAATTGACCTTTATATCCTAACTTTATACCCTTTACTCCTTTACTCCCTCACTTATTCATGTGTTTCTTTCAGTAAAAAAAGGGTTGTTTACATTTATAGTTATACACGTTAGAGCAAGATGTAAACTTTCAAAGGTCATCGAAACTCGCTGATGCTAACATCAATCGTGCTTGTTTAATTGGTGAAGACACAGAAATTAGGTATAACACTCGATCATTCACAAATTTAATGATAACGATGCAAACAAAAGCAAAAACTGTACACCGCAAGCGGTCGTCCTTCTTTCCTAAGAACCACCCGCGGAAAAAGAAAAAGTAAAACTATGCAAATTTATGACAAAAAAAAAAAAGAAAAAAAAAAAGAGGAGAGATTTGGACGTTGAGAGGAAATTCCCTCTTATCTGCCCTCTCGCCAATGAGGAAAATAAGGCCAATAACGCCAGTGTTTTCGTCGGACGAGTCTTCTTCAGTTATCCTAATCCGAAATTTAGAACTCCAAAGAGGCGAACCAGAGAAAGGAATAGATCTTCAAACGCACTCTGCAAACGCACTCTTTAAACGCACTCTGCAAAGATCGACAAACAGGCTTTATGGACCACGCAATGTCGTCTGGGTTACTGGGTCAATTATTGATAGTGTTCGTTTTTTGACGGACACACAGGCAGCCCAGTTAATAAAACCAGTCTGTATGCATAAACATCTGGAAACGACTGGCCATGTGCTCTGGTTTAGTCCGCTGGCCTTATTTTACGCATACTCTTAGATCTTGTGCACGCACTCTGTGCGCCATTGAGTGATTTGTGCCAGGATAATAAAAGAAAAGAAAAAAAACGGAGCCCAGTTTTTAGTTTGGCCGCACCCATGGAAACGCCCTAGCAGTAATGAATGTTGACGGTCAGAAAGCAACATTAGTCTTGGAAACTGGGAGAATTTGGCGGTTACTGCATGGCCTCATCATGCTTAAACTTCATCTGCTCATAGCCAGAGTGCACAAGTCATTTTTCCGATACTGAGGTGTTTCGCTCGTATCTTTTCAGCAAAATCCTGTGGTCATCCGGGTAGCATTTCAAATGGAGAGTTGAAATCTTACGTCTTTACTTTCAAGAGTAAAGTTCATTACCACTGTAATCATGGATACAAACTTGTTGGAGATAAATTTCGTCAGTGTCAAGCTAATGAACAGTGGAGTGGAAGACAGCCCAAATGTGAACGTACGTATTGTAAATAAAATGTTAACTAGTGGGCTACCACAAAATAAACAAACGAAGAAAGGAAAACCCCAAACAAACGAAATTGATGTATGGATAAACCATTGAATGGAAACTTTAATTACCAATTTAAACTGACGATACGTAAGCTAAGTCAGGGCACCCAGTTACAATCGTTCAATTAAGTTGTTTTGTCATTAAACTACTCAAACTCAAAAAAATTGTTTGTAATAAAATGCTTCAAATGCAAAACAACACTCGGTAGAAAATGTAAGGAACTGTTAAAACTAGCAGTACGTACTGCTGTGGTTTAACAGAGCTGGTATATTTTGAAGATGAAGTCAAACATAAATAATAATAATATTTAATAATTATATTGAGCATTTTCTATAAAAATAAAGGAGATGTCGCCTTTTTATAATTTTTTAAATTTCTATACGCCTCTTTTTCAAAGTGATTGACTGTGGAGTGTTACCCACACCTGTCAAGGCTTCAAAAGTATTGGAAACTCACACGAGGGTGGATGGCACGGTCCGATTTAAATGTACGGAAAAGGGATACGAGATCAGTGGTTCAGAAATAAGAAAGTGTCTCAACACTGGCCTATGGAGTGGGACAAAAACCAAATGTACAAGTAAGTTAGGTAGCAAGAAAAAAAGAAAAAAATGATCAATAAATAAATAGATTGAACATCTTTACTCCAAAAGAAAAAATAAAAGAACAACTGGAACCTAAAAAGTCAATTTACTCCCACGGAAAAATTGTTTTGCCATCTTATCTGAACTCTAACTGTATTAACTTGTAGTTATCAGCTGTGCAGACCGAGGATCTCCCATAAATGGTAAAAAAGTCAATGCCAAAAATAAATACAACTATGGAGATACCTTGAAATTTGAGTGTAATGATAACTACACATTGGAAGGCAACCGCCAGATAAAATGCGAAGAAACTAAAGACTGGAGTGGAGCTCTACCTTATTGCCGAGGTAACAATATTTACATTATAATTCCTCTCATTTCCTTTCGCAGTTTTTTTTTTTTTGTCAAGACATGTTTTTTCTTACTTCTCCTTTTTTTCTTTTTTATGTTCAACGTTTTTCTATTAATTGGTAGGTTTTTCCAATATGTGACTATAAAGCTTCAAAATAGTTTTATATGAACTTCTACATCATTATNAGACCGAGGATCTCCCATAAATGGTAAAAAAGTCAATGCCAAAAATAAATACAACTATGGAGATACCTTGAAATTTGAGTGTAATGATAACTACACATTGGAAGGCAACCACCAGATAAAATGCGAAGAAACTAAAGACTGGAATGGAGCTCTAACTTAATGACGAAGTAACAATATTTACATTATAATTCCTCTCATTTCCTTTTGCAGTTTTTTTTTTTTTGTCAAGACATGTTTTTTCTTACTTCTCCTTTTTTTCTTTTTTATGTTCAACGTTTTTCTATTAATTGGTAGGTTTTTCCAATATGTGACTATAAAGCTTCAAAATAGTTTTATATGAACTTCTACATCATTATGTCCACGTGTTTCGACATTTTCCTTTTGATGTCGCCTAATTTTCGCGTAAATTTAGAATTTCTTTGGCCTAAGAAAAATAGTTTGAGTTGGCAGATTGAAATTTTATTGAAGCGCAGATCATACTACTTAATGGTATGAAACCCTTTTCGTTAGGCATTTTATTTCGGCTACCACTTCGTAAGCTTTTTGGCGTAACTTCAGTTTTCCGTATTACATGAGGAAAGAAAAGCTTAAAACATTTCATAATGCAGTAGATCTTACTGTTTAATATCTTTCCTTGTTATTTATTATGTGCATCTTAATTCTCAGTAGCATATTCTTTTCACATGTATTTAACTAGGAACTAAAAGCATTAGACTAGGGCTAACGGCCTCAGACTGTATTAAAACAATTTGCTTGTATCTTTTAAAACCAAATTCAAAAGCCGCTTTTAAGGTGTTGCGATACAGTTTTTCAGAGGCCATACCGATATTTTTTGTATCTTTTAAAACCAAATTCAAAAGCCGCTTTTAAGGTGTTTCGATACAGTTTTTCAGAGGCCATACCGATATTTTTCAATCGCTTTAAAAGTGATTTTATCCTCGTCTGATCGCTATAAAATTTTCACCAATGATTGACTATAGATTGAAATTTGTCAAAATGTAGGTTTTGGTAAAATCGTATTAATATGACAACAATAAAGTTTGGTGTTTAGCAAATAACCTCAGTAAGAAGTAAAAAATTCTGTATGTTTGAATTCGCCTAAAACGAAAATATATATCAAACCTTAAATTTTCAATAGCCCTGCCGTGATAGATTATTCAATAAAAACGTCATAAATGACTCAAATTATTCTTAAGTAGCGTCATAATGCTGCTTAATATCATATTTCGATGCTAGGAAATTTTGGTGTATTTTAGTTCTCGCGATCTTTAAAACTAACCCGTTTTCTCACCGCCTGTCCAAATGCAACTACATTCAAAATTTGGAATTTTAGCGCTTTTTCTCTGAAACGACTCGAATGGTTTTTTTTTTAAAATCTCTTCACATAATCTTCATAATGTATATGTCTGAAACTTTCTTTAAGATTGATTCACTGTAACACCTTGAAATTTCAAGACAAACCTATCCTACGAACCAGTCAAAAATCCGTGCTACAACATTCACTGTTTTGATGTTATGCTATTTTTTTCAAATTAATGCGAACAATACACATATTCATGACTAGTACATTTCAGTGTGAGTATTGTCATTGCTTTACATTCAAAGGATACGATAAATTCAAACTAAAATGTACTAGTCATGGAGGTATGTACAGTGCGCATTATTTTGGAAAAATTGCCATAACGTCAAAATAGTGAATGTTGTAACGCAGATTTTTGACAAGTTCGTAGGATAGGTTTGTCTTGAAATTTCAAGGTGTTACAGTGAATCAATCTTCATGAAAGTTTCAGACGTTATTATATACATTATGAAGATTATGCAAAGAGGTTATGCAAATTCATTCGAGTGGTTTCGGAGATATACAAAAAAGCGCTAAAAGTCCAAATTTTGAATAAAGTTGCACTTAGACAGGTGGCGAGAAAACGGGTTAGTTTTCAAGATCGCAAGAACGAAAATACAGCAAAATTTCCTAGCATCGAAATATGATATTAAGCAGCATTCTGACGCTACTTAAGAATAACTTGAGTCATTTATAACGTTTTTATTAAATAATCTATCATAGCTATTGAAAATTTACGGATTGAAATATATTTTCGTTTTAGTTGAATTCAAACATACAGAATTTTTACTGCTTACGCAGATTGTTTGCTAAACACCAATCTTTAAGTTCCCAGTGTTGTATTTTCAGTAGCCGGTCTAGATCACACAAAATTTGGCTTTTATCAATTTCAAAGTTTTTGTTTATTGTTGTCATAGTAATATCGATTTTACTTAAAACTGTATCTTCACAAATTTCAATCCATAGCCAATTACTGGTGAAAATGTTATGGCGATCGGAAAAGGGAAAAACCACTTTTAAGGCGATTGAAAAATATCCGTATGGCCTCTGAAAAACTGTATCGAAACACCTTAACATGAACCGAATCTAAACGAGAAAGGAACTTCTCTGAGTAATGTGCTTACAATCTTCAATCCATCGATCTGATTTTTACTACACAGCCCCTTGTGCAGATCCAGGTGTTCCTTATCAAGGAAACAGAAACTCTCAAGATTTCCGTCACGGCCGAACAGTTAGATTCACTTGTCGCACAGATTACGTCATGGAGGGTGTGGCAGCAATAACATGCAGAGAAGGCAAATGGAGCAATAAAAAGCCAAGCTGCAAGGGTACATTAACAGAGTTTTTAGATTCCCTTAAAATAAAAATATATAGATTTAGCCAGGGCTAAAAGCGAAGCTCCTATATATTAACTCGAATTTATAATTTAAATCAAACAATAAACTTGTTTCCACAATTCAGTTAACTTTGGAGCTTATTCATGTGACTTTGGAGGGAAAGGTTAAGTGATTTTAGAGAAAAGTAATTTGCAAACAGTACAAGCTAAGAGTGAACTTAATCTTACATCGAGTTGATAGCCTTATATGTACACCCAAAAAATAGCAATCATCTTCGATCATATTTAAGATCGCGGGCTCTTGACGACAGTAGATTAGGCCTGGAAAACAAATCAGGCCGAATTTTTTGCATTCGACAAGTTTACTTTACAAAATCTTGCCAACATGCCTGGGGACGTGTAACCCAACCTTTTATACTTTTTTACATCACATCTGAGATGAAACAGTACCATGAGGCGCTGTTTTTATCATACAGACCTCGGACAGAACGCAGTATTTCACAATTTTGCAATACAAATTGCACTCAGTTAATATTCAGGACGATCGAAGCACGTGTGGGCTTTTAGCGAAACCGTTAAAAAAATTTCCAAAATCACTTATACGGCTAGCCGGTTCTCACTTTTGACAAGCGCCAAAGTCGACTGTTTAAATTATGATTAATAGAGTTATACGCTTCAACATAATAAATAATTTATTACGTTTACTTTTTATTTAATGGTTTTATAACGATGTGTAATCGTCAAAGGCGTTTGATACGCGTGGCATTTTGACTACTCCTGCATGCAAGCGATGTTCATGAGCGACTGAAAACAAACGGCACGGCGATAAAAATTGCAAAAGAGACTACTAACAATCAATAAAAGGAAAATAATAATCTCCCATAAATGGTAAAAAAGTCAATGCCAAAAATAAATACAACTATGGAGATACCTTGAAATTTGAGTGTAATGATAACTACACATTGGAAGGCAACCGCCAGATAAAATGCGAAGAAACTAAAGACTGGAGTGGAGCTCTACCTTATTGCCGAGGTAACAATATTTACATTATAATTCCTCTCATTTCCTTTCGCGGTTTTTTTTTTGTCAAGACATGTTTTTTCTTACTTCTCCTTTTTTTCTCAGTTTTTTATGTTCAACGTTTTTCTATTAATTGGTAGGTTTTTCCAATATGTGACTATAAAGCTTCAAAATAGTTTTATATGAACTTCTACATCATTATGTGCACGTGATTTCGACATTTTCCTTTTGATGTCGCCTAATTTTCGCGTAAATTTAGAATGTCTTTGGCCTAAGAAAAATAGTTTGAGTTGGCAGATTGAAATTTTATTGAAGCGCAGATCAAACGACTTAATAGTATGAAACCCTTTTCGTTAGGCATTTTATTTCGGCTACCAGTTCGTAAGCTTTTTGGCGTAACTTCAGTTTTCCGTATTACATGCGGAGAGAAAAGCTTAAAACATTTCATAATGCAGTAGATCTTACTGTTTAATATCTTTCCTTGTCATTTATTATGTGCATCTTAATTCTCAGTAGCATATATATTCTTTTCACATGTATTTAACTAGGAACTAAAAGCATAAGACTAGGGCTAACGGCCTCAGACTGTATTAAAACAATTTGCTTGTATCTCTTAAAACCAAATTTAAAAGCCGCTTTTAAGGTGTTTCGATACAGTTTTTCAGAGGCCATACCGATATTTTTCAATCGCTTTAAAAGTGATTTTATCCTCGTGTGATCGCTATAAAATTTTTACCAGTGATTGACTATAGATTGAAATTTGTCAAAATGTAGGTTTTGGTAAAATCGTATTAATATGACAACAATAAAGTTTGGTGTTTAGCAAATAACCTCAGTAAGAAGTAAAAAATTCTGTAAGTTTGAATTCGCCTAAAACGAAAATACATATCAAACCTTAAATTTTCAATAGCCGTGATAGATTATTTAATAAAAACGTCATAAATGACTCAAATTATTCTCAAGTAGCGTCATAATGCTGCTTAATATCATATTTCGATGCTAGGAAATTTTGGTGTATTTTAGTTCTCGCGATCTTTAAAACTAACCCGTTTTCCCACCGCCTGTCCAAATGCAACTACATTCAAAATTTGGAATTTTAGCGCTTTTTTGTATATCTCTGAAACGACTCGAACGGCTTTTTTTTTAAAATCTCTTCACATAATCTTCATAATGTATATGTCTGAAACTTTCTTTAAGATTGATTCACTGTGTAACACCTTGAAATTTCAAGACAAACCTATGCTACGAACCAGTCAAAAATCCGTGCTACAACATTCACTGTTTTGAGGTTATGCTATTTTTTTCAAATTAATGCGGAAAATTCGGCTTTTATCAATTTCAAAGTTTTTGTTTATTGTTGTCATAGTAATATCGATTTTACTTAAAACTGTATCTTCACAAATTTCAATCCATAGCCAGTTACTGGTGAAAATTTTATGGCGATCGGAAAAGGGAAAAACCACTTTTAAGGCGATTGAAAAATATCCGTGTGGCCTCTGAAAAACTGTATCGAAACACCTTAACATGAACCGAATGTAAACGAGAAAGGAACTTCTCTGAGTAATGTGCTTAGAATCTTCAATCCATCGATCTGATTTTTACTACACAGCCCCTTGTGCAGATCCAGGTGTTCCTTATCAAGGAAACAGAAGCGATCAAGATTTCCGTCACGCCCAAACAGTTAGATTCACTTGTCCCACAGATTACATCATGGAGGGTGTGGCAGCAATAACATGCAGAGAAGGCAAATGGAGCAATAAAAAGCCACGCTGCAAGGGTACATTAACAGAGTTTTTACATTCCTTAAAATAAAATAACCTATTGACGAAATAGATATTCTAATATCAGAATACTTCTAAGGCCTAGACCAAACTTAGAACTTTTCATGAGACGAACTAAAATTACTGAGTTAAGTTCATGAAAAGTTCAACGTCTGACTCAGTGTAGTTCGTCTGAATGCGCTTGGATCGCCCAACCATTCTTTCCGTCTACTCCAGACGGATAGAGCGTCTAAAAATCGTCGATCTTTCCATGAGACAAAAAAATAAATAAATAAATAAATTAGGCCACGAGAAAATTTGTTACTGATCACGCGCACTCAGTTTTTAAGACAGACGAGTACCTCCGGGGACGACAAAGCCTTTTTGTTCGTACGTTCCTTTTCATCCTTTTTTTTCAAATGATCGGGACGCATTAGTACGGTGGCCCACATCGGCGATACACAAATATATATTATATTACTGCATTCTATATCTTAGTACGCAAGCATAGTCATTGGCTGTGCGAGTATATTTACCAGTACAATAAAATATACACCAGTACAACAATGTGTATCCCAGTACAGAAATATATATTTCAGTACAAAAATAAAAGTTTCGGTACAGAAAAATATTTTTTAAAAAATTTGGAAAAACCCGGTAGGTACTTTATATATGATTATTGCTATATACCTAAATATATATGCTTATCCTTCTGCTACTACCGTTATTATTACGTCGAATTTAACATTCGAAACAATTCTTTTGCACCTCGTTTAACCAAAATTATGAAATTTGAGTTTTCTACTCAATAACCCAATAATGGGAAATATTCAGCCAATCGAAGGTGGTAAATTGTTTTCTTGTGAAAATCCGCTGTTCCGTTTTTTGTCTTATTATATTGCCAGTTCGACGCTTCCTAAGTTCGTCGTCTGACTCAACGGACGATTTTAACTAATAATTTAGGTCTCCAAAAATTAGAGTTTGGTTCGTCTCATAAAAAGTTCGACATTTGGCCTTAGGCTAAACCAATTTATACCAGTTTAACACACATTTTCTTACATTTTAGCTCCTTGCTTAGATCCTGGAAGTCCAACTAATGGAAGAATAATCGGAGATGATTTTAGCCATAGTCAATCAGTCAGATATACATGTAATACCGGTTTTGAACTTAAGGGCGATCAACTTCTAAAATGTTCCGATGGAAGATGGAGTGGAAATAAACCGCTGTGTAAAGGTAAACACAATATTAAGGGTTATTTATATTCGACTGTTTTATCTTTTTGTTTTTTTCGATTTCCCGTATTTCCTATATTTATCAGTCTGATGATTATGATCATTTTCTAATAGGCCAACATATCAATACACTCGTCACTGTGTGGTGCATTTTAAGAGAAATTGCAAGATCCTTTTTTTAGTTAAACACCGCGGTTTGTCCTTATTAGTTTAAACATGGTTTTAGTGACTTTCTATTAAAAAAAAAAAAAAAAATGGTTCAACTTCACCGTTTGTTCTTGATAAATGACACCAAACAATTCACCGAATTTAAAATTTCTTCTTTTGTCCTAGTTATTAGATGTAGAGACCCAGGATCTCCGATCAATGGTAAACAAGTTAATACCAAAAATCATTACAACTATGAAGATACTTTGGAATTTGCTTGTAATGATAACTACACGCTAGAAGGATACCGCCAAATTAAATGCAAGGAAACCAAACACTGGAGCGAAGATGTTCCTTCTTGCCGAGGTAATCTCAATTACGTTAACTTCTACCATTTTGTCGAGGCGATCATCTTTCTTGACTTGTACCCCTGTGTCTTCACCTTAGGAGAAATGGTTAGTCCTTTAAAGACTTTCAAGACAGGATCGCAAAAAAATCCGAGATCCCTCAAAACGACGCAAAAACAAATATAGTTCGGGTTTGCAATATTACCAGATTTACGCTCACATAATACGTTTGTCACGTATTAGTCTTTTTTTTTTAATATTAGATAAAAAGATGATACTGTGTTCAAAAAAAAATAAAAAATCATTTTTGTCTTTTAGCTCCCTGCTTATATCCTGGAATTCCAGGCAACGGAAGCATGTCTGGAGATGATTTTAGACATGACGGGACAGTCAGATATACATGCAAGCCAGGTTTTGGACTTGAGGGCGATCAACTTCTAAAATGTTCCGATGGACGATGGATTGGAAATAAACCCCAGTGTAAAGGTAAACACAGTATAGAGGAATTATTATTTTCGACTGTTTTATCTTTTTGTTTTTTTCGATTTGCCGTGTTTCCTGTATTTAATGGTGCTGGAGTTATTA